ACACAGGGTTTGATTATCAAAGTACCAGGTACATACTAAACACAAGCTAAATGATAGCTGCCTCTAACTTATTGATAGTTCACTACAACTGGCCCACATTATCACAGTGCTAAGGCTAGAACTGAGGGGCTCATGCACAGACAAGTGTTCCTCCTTGAGCTGCATTCCCAGCTTCCTGTTATGATGTTTTTTTGTTTGTTTGTTTGTTTTTGTTGTGTGTGTGTGTGCATGTGTGTGTTCATGTGGAGGCTAGAGGTCAATGCAAGATGCCTTCCTCAATCACTTTCCACCTTAGCTTTTGAGACAGGCATGAAAAGCCCCAGGCATCCTCATATCTCTGCCTCCCCAGCACTGTGATTATATACATATACCACTGTGACCTGGCTTTTACATGGATGCTGGATATTGAACTTAGGTCCTCATGTTTACATACAAGCACTATACAAAATGAGCCAGCCCCCATTCCCTCTTGCTAATATCTTAAATTAGATTTCTGTCATAGGTTTTATTAACAGAATCCACTAGTGTTTCACAGTCATAGATTGGTAGAAAATTGACTTACATTTTAATCTTACAGAGCAAAGCCTGAGTGTCTTTCATCCCTTAGAAGCAAATGGCAGATGGTAACTAGAGAGTGGGCCCCTTCTGTACCACCAGAAGACAGGCAGCTGCAGCCTCAGGGCTGAGCCCCAGGTTTCCACCTTCTGCTGTGAGGGTCTTCGTACCATGGATTCCAAGTGGATGCTGGCTCTCTGTGGGGCAAGCAAGAATGCTGGACAAATGCTGCATACAGGCACCCAGCACAGGGCCATAGGAAATCTCTAATCTGACTGACACAGGATGGATGGGGGGTGGGTGGGTGGGAAGACTCTTCATCAGTGTCAGGAGTGATCTGAAGCACCTGGCTCTTCAGTGAAATAAAATAAATTATTTACTGATCTCAGAATATAGCTGCTCACTTTGAATACTTATAAAGAGAGTGCTGTCTGATACCTTGAACTCCAGTAAAGATATTCCTGAATTGCTGTATGCAAGTGTGTTGTGAGAGTTGAGGGGGTTGTCATGTACTTAGTAAGGAGGGAAGAGTTGACCTACTTGGGAATGAACTTACTCATTACATGACACAATATGCATGGCAGTTTATCCGACTGTCACAAAATTCCTTAGGAGTAACCAGAGAAGTTTCCACTTTTGATGCTAAAGTTTGAGCTTAGTAGCTAAGAGAAACAAACATTCTGATGGGCCTTTTTTTTTTTTTTTTTTTTAAAAAGATGCTCCCCAGAGCAGAGACTGTCCACCAGAGGGCACCCTGTGAGCTGCACGCTGCAAGTATCCTGGAGTAGGGATCTCCCCAGCCTCACTTCCGAGAACTACCATTCCAGGAGGGACACTGGCAACACTGGCTTTATCCTTTTCTATCTCATGGGTCTCCACTGTGGGCTACAAGTGAGGCTTGGAGAGCCATTTCCAAATCTGAGGAAGTCAGCTCAACACCTGCTAGGAGAGATGGCAGAAAGCATCACAAATAACAGCAGCCATCAGAGCTAGGCTAAGCTACTGTTTAGAATCAGCTTCTGTGGGTCAGATACCCCCATCCAAGCCTAGAATGAAAGTTTTATAACACCTGTTTTATAAGTAGTAACAACTACAGTGGACAGGGAAGGTGCCACAGCAGTACAAAGAGAAGGAACAACTCGACCCCAGTGCTGAGTACAGAGCCCTGCTCCTGCGACCACAGACTCCGTGGCCTTTCTTTCTTGCGATGAATTTGTAGGTCAGAATCAGGTGGACACAAGTTTGTCCTTTTGCCTTTGGAGAAGAGTGGGAGACAGGCCTGGGGTCTGTGGTCATTCCAGGCACTGTTTCTCCCATTGTAGACAGAGAAGGTGTGCCTGTGGAACATCCTGTTTTGACCTGTCATGAGGCAGCTAAGCTACTGATAGGATTTCCTAGAAAGAAGCCATCAGAAAAAGCAGACCCAGAAGCTGAGGAGGAAGCTCATTTGGTTAAGTGGTTTCTGTGCAAGCATGAGTTTGACTCTCCAGAATCCATGTGAAAAGTCCAGGTGTGGCAGTGCATGGCTGTATTCCTAATGTTAGGGAGGCAGAAACAAAAGGATTCCTGGACTGCTGGAGAGCACAGTCAAGTTAGCAAGCTCCAGGTTCAGCAAGAGATTCTATCTCAAAAAAAAATAAGGTGGAGGAACAGTTGAGGATGGGTTTGTCAGGTGTGGAAGTTACAGCCAGCACATTGAATTCAATAATTGTACCAAGATGCCTATCCCGGGCACCTGGAAGTTCAGTGCTACCCAGACCCACTGAAGATGTCTGTTTATCCTTCCAAAGGCACTGGAGGTGACTTCTTATAGTCCCCAACTCTTCCTACAGCCCTCAGTGCTGAGTGACAAGTGTATGATCCCAGCATTTGTTGCTGATAACTTTATCATGATACAGACGTGGGAGGGAGACTGGCCTCCTCTCACATGTTCCACACCGGCCTGATGCCTCAAAATAATCTTAGGGCATTCAGATGGCCAACACGTGTGCAGGTCAAAAAATGATGTCAGAACACCTGGAACTGAATTAACAGATGGCTATGAGCTACCATATGGGTGCTGGGAACGGAACCCTGGTCCCTAGAAAAGCATAAATGATCTTAATCATTGAGCTATTCTCTAGCCCGAAAAAAATTTATGTGTAGTACAAACGCAGTAATTTATAACAAGTAATACTCTGCTCAGATCTGAGCTGAGGTATTCCTGTCACATTGTTGGTATGAGGTGGTGTGACAGACAGTATGAACAGACGATGGGTACTCATAAACAAGGTTGCAGTGACATTAGGTGATCTAACATGGCAAACCCCTCAGATTCATTACATACTGGTTTTTGAATCATGTTTTAGTTGTATATTCAGAAACCTTTTACTATCATCAAATCTTAAATCTCCATGTTCAGTAATGTGAACCCACATGGGCCAAGAAGCTGAGCTCTAGAAAAATATAGCTCCTCCAGAAACCACATACACCAACAGGCCTGTCTGGAGCATTTGGGAGGAGACTGTCTTAGTCAGAGTTCTATTGCTGTGAAGAGACACCATGACCACAGCCACTATTATAAGCAAACATTTAACTGGGGCTGTCTTACAGCTGAGAGGTTTAGTTTGTTATCATCATGGTAGGAAGCATGGTAGCACACCAGCAGACATGGTGCTGGAGAGACAGCTCAGAGTTCTATATCTGGATCAGCAGACAGCATGAAGAACATGACACTGGACCCCACTTGAGCATCTGAAAGCTCAAAACCAACTCCCAGTGACACACTTCCTCCAACAAGGCCACACCTAATAATGCCACTCTCTAGGGGCCTATGGAGCTATTTTCATTCAAACTACAGGCAGAAGTCAATCCCCTTTTTTGGGGGGTAGGGAGACATTGAACTTGAGCAGGCTGGGCAAATGCTCTACCTGAGCTCATGACAGCTCTTGACACCCTCCTTCTTTCTGGGCAGTCTTTGCATTTTCTCAGAGACATCAGAAATGAACACCCTTAGGGCATACGGCACTCACTAATTTTATGTTCTTAATTTTGTTTTTGAGATAGGATCTTACTATATAGCTCTGTCTGAGCTCCTGGAGCAGGGCAGAACCGAGGCTCAGGGAGACAGAGAGCCTTGCTTAAGGTTACATGGCAGTTACTGAGGAAGTCACAGTCTTAAGCCAACTGAGGTTTAGCTGCCCATCTCTTAACTACAAAGCTGAACATTTAGTATATGGCAAGCTCCTGTTAATAAAGCTAAGAAGGGACCTGGGGAGAAGAGTCAGTCTGTAGAGTGCTTGTGATAACAACCTTGAGTTTAGATTCCCAGAACTCAAGTAAAAAGCCAGTATTGGGGTATCAGAGACAGGGGCTTGCTGGTCAGCCAGTCTAGCCAAATTGTTGAGCTCAGGGTTAGTCAGAGGCCCTCTCTCGAAAGGTAAGATGGAGAGCAACTGAAGGAAGACACCTGAGGTTGACCTCTAACCTCTCCAGGCTTACACATCTGCATACACACATACAGTTGGGCAGGAATACTGGAGGAACATTTGGAGGGTCATGACATATTAGCTAGATTTAGATTAATGCCAATATCAGAGATTTTATTATGAGAAATATAAACTTAGCAATGTTAGAATTAGATTCAATCTTTATCTCCTTCTAAAACAGGCAAACAAGGACCTATGGGAGAGAGATATGGCAGGGTAACAATCCAACTCCCTCACTGTTTGAGCTTGGTGTCCTCCCAGCTTCTTCTCTCTCCATTGTTAGGGGACAGAGGATATGGCCTCGCCAGACCCGGGTTCCACAGGACACTACCACCAGCCTGTGTAAGTTGGGCATGAGGCTATCTCTGTCCCTCATTACTGCTTCTGTCAAGTGGGGAGGCAAAAACTGCCACCTTCTAGGTAGTACAGAGTGCAAGGGAAACAACTGGCAGTGACTGAGACACAGTGGTGGACATCTAGACAAAGCAGCCATGATGATGTATTAATACCATGTTGACTATGGTGAATTATCTATCCCTGTTAGGAATAAGCAAAAGCAGAAATTTAGTGCTTAATCAGAACAAATCAAGCCCAGACACTTGTTGAAAGTGAGTACTGGATTTTCTAGTAAGACCCAAATATAACCCTGAAGTCACTGAGAAGCTTCCTGAATGAGGAAGCTATGAACTTGGGGCGTAAGGCAGGTGCGCAGCAGCACCCCAGAAGCTCTGAGGACATCCCCAGAGCAGAGGAGCCATGAAACTTCCCATAGGCCCATCAGTTTGAGGACAGTCTCAAGTAAGTTCTCTTTTTAGCCTTCTGCCTCATAAAGAAGACAGCCTTTTCCCTTGGGTGGGAAAAGGATGTATTTTAAATTTCACTGTTTAACATTTCCTCAGAAAACAAATTCTCTTTAGTCATTCAGGTCACATGAAAGCTGCACGCTGCTGCTTTGCCTGCATCTCCTCATGCACTCACCTAACTGCACATCAGTTGTGAACCGAAGTCTGTGGATCATGCTGACTTTGAATGACTTATAATGGTGGCTGCTCAGCATATCCTGTACTGTAGCGATGTCAATTTGTGAGTCTTCCTCAAAAACTCCGTCTGCCCTTGAACCTGGGGGGGAGGAAAAGAACAGTGTAACACATAAAGACACATGAGGCTTGGCAAATGTGTCTGCTTAAAGTGCGTTGGGATAAATTAAAATAATACGGGCTATTTAATTTGGAGGAGAAAAGGCTGAGTGATGACTTAATAATGCTATCCCAGTAAACAGAGAATGCTAACGTATTAATCATTCAACAGTTAATTCCACAAACATTGCCTATTCCAAGGCAGGCTGTTGGCTGGGCAGTGGGGAGAAAAGAGTGGAAACACCCTGCTCATGCTCTCAAGCAGCTTGGTCTCTACAAAGCTGGTCAAAATCTGGGAATGTGGTGGTTATGGACATTACCCATGCTCCTTGAAGAACCCTGCCCCTTCCAAATCCCCAACCTGCTTAGCAGCCCCTGCCCTGCACTTCTCAGCTTCCCCTGTCTCAGGCAGGAGCCTCTTGCTGGCTTTGGGACTTCTGGGCTGCCTCTGTGATCTGATCACAAGACCTTCTGGTTCATTTATCTAGAGGTCTGATCACTCGCTCGCTCACTCGCTCACTCATTTGCTCACTCGCTCATTCACTCACTCCATGGGATGTGACATGGGTGACAAATGGGAAGCCAGTGCTCTACAACTTTCCCTGGAACCCAGGAGTCTTGAATGAAGCCCTTTCTACAGCCAGCAGCGGAGGCAGGGCAGCTTATTAACTGGTTGAACAATTTTCCAATCTCTTATCAGTCCTCATGATGCCTCTCTCAGATCCTCCCAAACTGCAGACAGCTCCTAGGTCCAAGGTTACAATCAGGCAACAGCAGACGATCGTCAGCGTACAATTCCAAAGTCCAGTTGCTGGGTCTTGTTCACGGCCTAGAGTCCTCCTTCAGATTTACCCCGTAACACCCAAAATCTTCCCCTTCCCCAGGTCAGCTCATACGTCACCACTTCCTTGAAATCCATTTCAATGGCTCTGACACACATCTACAATAGCTGGTATATACTGGATCTGAAGCTGCGCAGACCTGGTTCAACTCCCACCTCTACCTCTAATTTGCTGTGTGATCTTAGGTGAGTGACTACCTCTGTGAACTTGTCTTTGACATTCACAGAACATCAACATTCATGTAAAGAATCTAGTACATAAAATGATTAACAGTAGCCAGAGGGGCTTGTACTCAGCCTTGTCCTAGAACTGCTTAATGCTTGCTTTGTCCTTATGTGGAAGTTTCACAAAGGTCAGTGAAGTTTCTTATTCATTTTTATGCTTTTTCCTGAGAACAGTACAGGCAACTGGTGTGCTCACACTAAATTTCTAAGTAAATAATGGACAGTCTGCTATCTATGTCAGCCATGATGTCAAGTACTTTACTCATGTTGAGCCTCATGACAACATGGAGGGTTCTGGAATTTACTGTCTTAAACTGGTGAGAAGCTAAGTCATATCTGAAGGCCACCCTAGATAAAGGCAAACCACAGGCAAACTTCCAGAATTTCTTCAGATGAAGTTCATGGGCTGGAAACCTTTAGCTTTGGGTATCTCCAAAGCTTGACAAATCCATGCTTTTCTTTGCCTATAGGCTGACTTTTTAGATAAGTCAGTTCCTTTCTTTTCCTTTTTTCAGAGAAGGCAGGAGCCTAGTGCAAGTGCAATGGGAGGTGATGACTTAACCAGTGTCCCACTGCAGGACAAACTGAGTGACATGCCACCTCGGCAAGAACCATCTGTTGACTGCCTTCATTCTTTGAAGCACCAGGAATTTGGGACAGATCATGGTCCTCAATGTCCCCTGGGAAATGTGACATCAGAATGAAGGCTGGCAGCAAAGTCCAGTAGAGTCACTTATTTTATTCAAACTACATTTAAATAGAAACATAACTGCCAAAAGCATTCATTTCTATCTTAGGACTTTTATATGTGAAAATTATAAAGAAAACATTCTTTATTTCTTAAACACTAAAGTCCATCTCAGCCATTTTTGCTGAGAATAATGCATTAGAGCTTAGCCCTGAGTTCCACAGTTCTGGAACTGTAACTAATTGGTATTTTCTAAACATTGCAGGTATTTGATTTGGAAAGAGTAATATCACATTATGTTAAAATGCCAATTACTAAAATAAAACAACAGCAAAATCCCATACTTGAGATTTTTACATTTTATGATGTTGGATTAAAACCAATTTAAAAATTACTACACGTGACATACATTTTTTTACTGAGCAATTTCAATGCCAGCTGCTAATAAAGCATCTTAGTTGTAAATGATAATTCAGATGCTTTTAGATAAAGTGGTGCATAAATATGGCTGGAAATTGATTTAGCTTCTTACAGAAGCTGCTGAAGAATGACATATTCTGTTTAATACACCAGCTAATGTGTCCTAAAAGCTCAAACAAGTGCCAGTTTTCATGGCTAACTTTACTGTGGGAGATTAATGAAAACTTTATATTTTGCTGAAATGTTAATAACGGGCAGATAAGATGATAGGATTTTAGTCAAGGTCTTAAGCTATGGAATAACCAGCAAGGCTTGTCAATTTCCTTCTATTAATTTTAGACTTTCATAGCTGGAGCTGGTTCAACACTAATGCTTCACACACTGACCTTCTCCTCTCTGCCAGGGGAAATTCACTTCCCATTGAGGATTTAGGTTTCCTTACACTTGAGTGAGTTCTGAGCCATGCCCTGCTGACAGGGCCACTCCAGCTCTTAAGATCAGGAAGGTACAGCATCAAGGGAGCAGGGAAGGTGCTGTCTTGCATTCCCTCCAGTTTCAGCTGCTCATTCTAAGCAGGTCATCTGCTGAAATAGTAGCTTCAAGCCCCACTGCCAGTTTTCAAGTGGGCCCAGGAGTGCCACTGAGTGTAGGACTTATCTGTGTGTACATGTGTCTCACCCATCCAGCAGGGCAGACTGTGAGAAGGTACTGGTAGCAAAGGGTCTTGACACTCAGGAACTTATGACCCAGCTACAGAACACAAAAGAACAGGACAAGCAGACAAGCCCAGTGAACGGCATCTGCACTGGCACTTTATCTCCAGGCAGCTATCTCAAGTGAAGCACTGAATTAGCAGTGCGTTTGGGGACCAGAAAAATGTAATGGGTTAGTGTGTAAACCTTGCATGTCTGTACCTTGGAGAAGGTGGAACTCAACCACACATGCAAGATACTTGGTATTATGCCGTTTGCGTATGGAAATCATTATCGCACTACCAATTCCACATGAAAGCCCTATTTATGCTCAAGATGACATTTTTATCTTCTCAAAGTGAAAAGTACAGAACCAAAATGTCTTAAAAACAAACACACAAAACCCTCCCCAAATCATTAATTTAATTGAAATATAACTCTTTGGTATTTTGTTAAATTAGCAATTAAAAAGGTCACAAGCAATTAAATAAGACAAAAGCCACACTGTGTTCATCTACATTAAAGCTGAACTGAATCTTCTCATGAGTGACAAGATAAATTGTAATGGTGCCTTCAAAGACTTCACAGTGTACTCTGTCAAAGTCATGAGTGTTAATGTCTCTATGTGCTGTGCATTACCATAATGTATTGTGTCAAAACGCTCACGTTGCAGTAACTCAAGGCTGAATGTGAGAGACCGAATTTTGGGGTGGGGCTTAGTAGTGACTTGAGCACCAGAGCACAAGAAGGCTCTGGCACAGTGTAACTGGCAAGGGTCTGGGGACAACAGAGAATCTTAGAGGAAGCAGCCTAATTCCCTGGAATAAAATCAGGAGGACTGTGGAATGGAGTCTGGTCCTTGTCTCAGGAAGAAAGGTCAAACAGGCTGGGGTGAGCAACACAAAGGGAAGCAGAGAGGCAATAAAGGAACCAAGTCCAAGGCAATCCTAGCTTCTGCAGTACGGAAGAAAGAGTGGGTATGTGGGACAGACCACAGATATAAAGTTACATGTACATTAACACCCTGACTTTTGGCCACTCACTATGGGTTCAGAACAAGTGGGACAGGATCACCAGGCTCTGGAATCTGTGTGTTTCTTTGCTGTTTTCATCCTCTTCTTTTTGGGTTATGCTAAAAGCTGTTCCTATACCCCTATGTACACCCTTTTGACCCTAGGACACAAGAATATGGCTAGAATAGTGAATTCAAAATCAGAGATCTTCAAAGTGCAGGTCTGGGCTAGTGGTGGGCACATCTATCTAAAAGCTCCCTTCAGGGCCCCATGGTCCTATACTGTTTTCATAGTAACAGTAAAACATCTTTTGCCTTTTACGTTCATTCCCTTACAAGTGCACATTGCAATAAAGACTTCTGATTCCATGTTGCAATTAACCTTTAGGAAACTATCACTTGAATTTTGATATAAATGAAAATTAATACCAACAATTATCTGAAAAGGGTATGGAATTCTCTCCACTGTTTCAGTAATGTATCTGTGTTAGGACAAATCCTCTTACTATACTACAACCCAAATAGTGTATTGTAACACTCTGAGTACAGAAGCAGATATGAAGACCTAGGATATTCTATTAGCCAGACAGGAATGTGCAAAAACGTAAAACAGGGCTGGGCTGCAGCTCAGGTGGCAGAATATTTGCCTAGCATATCCAAAGCCCTGGGCACACAGACACCAGGACACCCCAGCACTGCA